AAAGATTATGACAAAAATGGAGGAGAAAGAAAAAAAATAAAAAAAGATGTCAGAAGAGACTCTAAAGATTGCATTGGAACATCAAGAAGCCAAATCTAAAGAAAGATATGTCTAAGTGAAAGAGCTGAACAGATGATTTCAGAGAGCAGTTTGGGAGGACAAAGCAAAGTATTATAATGGAATGTGCTGAGAGCTGGAATTGGAGAATAAAAAGGGAAGAACTCGTTCTGCATTTCTTAAGCTGAAGGAGCTGAAAAAACAAATTTTAGCCTTGTGTCACAATATTCAAAGATGCTGTGGGCAATATGTTGAATGACCAAGAAAACATCAAAAGAAGATGAAGGAAACACACAGAAATCACTGTACCAGAAAGAATTGATTGCTACTGAAAATTCCAGGAAGTACCTACAAAGAAGAACAAAACTAGGCTTTGGTCTCTCAGTAAAAACCATACAGTCAAGAAGAAAATGGTATAACATAAAACTTGGAAAGAAAGGAATTGCCCACCAAGAATTATATATCCAATAAAACTGTTCTTCAAATGTGGTGCAGTTAGGAAATTGACAAAGGTAAATGTAACAAAGCTTCATCTCACAAATTTTGGGCATGCTGCTAAGAGAAGCACTTCTTTGAAGAGGGTCATGCTTTGAAAGGTGGAGGGTTAGCAAAAGAGGAAGACCTTTGATGAGATGGGTTGACACAGTGACTGTAGCAGTGGGCTGTCTTGCTCAGGAACCAGATAGCTTGCATAGCTATTTGGGGCACTATTGTGCTTCTAGGCCCCAATCTCCAAATTCCTTTAATCTGAGGTCAGAGATTGGAGGACAGAGGTGTGGTTTGTTGTGCTCTATATTCTTGTTATTATGTGCTGTAGATTCACTTGTGACTCATACTGACCGTATATACAACAGCTCTCAACCCTGCTTTATCCTGTGTCAACCTTATTGTCTCTGACACACCTATTCTCATTACATTACTGCCTTCACTGAGTCATTCCATCTTGTTGAGGGTCTTCTTCTTCTGCACTGTCCCTTCACCCTCCCAAACATGAGGCCCTTCTCCAAGGACCGGTCCCTCCTTGCAACATGCCCAAAGTATGTCAGACGGTGCTTCAGAATCATTGCCGCCAAGGAGCAGCCTGGTTCCACCCTCTCCAACACGAACTTGTTTGTTCTCCTAGCAGTCCATGATATATACAATACTCTTCTCCAGCACTACAACTCAAAGGCATCAGTTCTCCTTCTGTCATCCCTAGTCATTGTCCACCTTTCTGATGGGTAGCAAGTAATTGCAAGGTATTAAATGGATCAGGTGCACCTTAGTTTCCAGACTGACATCATTGCTCTTCAGTACTCTGGTGAGGTCCCTGAACAGCAGATTTTTCCAATGCAATTTGTCTTATTTTCCTGGTTGCTAGTACCAAGAGTGTTGATTGTGGAACCAAGCAAAATGAAGCTGTTAACAATTCCTTCACCATCTATCATGATGCTGCCAATCAGCTCAGTGATGAGAATCTTTGTTTTCTTGATGTTGAGCTTCAGTCTATATTTAAGGCCATAATTCTTGACCTTCTGCAGCAAATGCCTCAGGTCCTCCTCAAGAAGGGTCAATAGTTGGAAAATGTGGATTTGGCAACAGAAGTGAAGTTTGAGATAGAATGATAGAATTCTGTAAAATCTTGTTAATTGCAAATACCTTTTATAAGAAACGTGGTGCTGGAGAAGAGTATTGAGAGTACCATGGACTGCTAGGAAAACAAACAGATTCATCCTGGAAAGGGTTAAACCAGGTGGCTCCTTGAAGGCAAGGATTCTGAGGCAACGTCTAACATACTTTGGACATGTTGTAAGGAGAGACTGGTCCTTGGAGAAGGACATCATGCTTAGGACGATGGAGGGACAGCACAGGAGGGGAAGGCCTTCTATGAGGTGGATTGATTCAGTGACTTGGGTAATCGGGATGGGAGTGTCAGAGACAGTGCAATTGGCACAGGGCAGAGCAGAGTTTAGGGCTGTTGTACATAGGGTCGCTATGAGTCGCAAGCTACTCCACGGCACATAACAACAATAACAACAAACACAGACTACTCACATGGATTAGTTTGCATAGGAATCAGATCTATTACGTTTGTGGAAAGAATCGCTGCAGAACTTCAGCATCAGCTGTGAAAACTAGGCCAGGTGATGATTTTGGAACAGACCACCAATTACTCATATGTACGTTTAAGATAAAGAAGATTAAATCAAATCCACAGGAACCAAAATTTGACCTTGAGTTTATCCCACCTGAATGTGAAAATCATCTCAGGAACAAGTTTGAGGCCTTGAACACTAGTGAGAGAAGACAAGATGAGCTGTGTAAGGATATCAAGAATATCATCTAGGAAGAATGCAAGAGGCATTATAAAGACAGAGGAGGAAGATAAGACCAAAATGGATGTCAGAAGAAACTCTGAGCATAGCACTAGAATGCCGAGAAGCCAAAGCAAAGGGAAGAACTTAAGAAGGAGCTGAACAGAAGATTTCAAAGGGCAATGCAGAGGACAAAGCCATGTATTATAATGAAATGTGCGAAGAGCTGCAATCAGAAAATCAAAAGGGCTGAACTCAATTGACGTTTCTTAAACTGAAGGAACTGAAGAACAAATTCAGGCTTTGAGCTGCAATACTAAAGGATGATCTGGGCAGAATATTAAATGATCCAGGAAGCATTAAAAGAAGATGGAAGGAGTATCCAAAGTCACTGTACCAAAAAGAATTGGCTGAAACAGAATTTAATGAATAATGTATGATTCAAGACCCTATGGTGATGAAGGAGGAAGTTCAAACTGCTCTGAATAAATTAGCAAAATACAAGGCCTCAGGAATTGATGGAAAATCCATTGACACATATCAACAAATAGATGCTGCCCTAGATGCGTTCACCAGGTTGTGCCAAGAAATCTGGAGGATAACCACCTGGATAACTGGAAGAGAATTATATTTCTTCCCTTTCCAAAACAAAGTGACCCAACAGAGTATGGAAGTTATTGAACAATTTCATTAATATCATATGCAAGCAAGAGCCTGCTGAAAAATTGTCCGAAAATGACTGGAACAGCACATCAATAGAGAACTGCCAGATGTGCGGGCAGGGTTTAGAAGAGGCTGTGAAACTTTATATTATTATATCTAATGTTAGATGAATTTTGATTGAAAGCATATAGTCCAAGAGGACTATCTATTTGTGTTCTGCTCTATAGCCTTCATTAAATTAATATGTATTCTCTTGCAGCCTCCATAGATTCCTGAACTTTCTGGTTTGTTAACTAGTCTTTCATGTTTGGTGTTCTTATTTCATATGTTTTTATTTTGATGTTTTATTTTTTGTTTAGTCCTGTCTTCATCTTATTCTTGAGATTTTAACAAATTAACTTTTTTTTTTCCTAAAATGCAATTTTAAACTTTGTACATGACAGTTTTTTTAAAGCTCTAAATTAGCATTTTATATTTTGTTGATTAAATTTTCACTAAAGGTTATGGATAATTGGTACAATTTTTTTATGATGTTGGTAATATATAGATATTTTCCAGAAATCTACTGTGACAAAAGATAATATTTCAGATAAGATAAATTTTTAGGTGAAAGATGGACATTATCTTTGTATAATTATCTTTGGAAGTTTGTATATAAAAGTGTGAAAAGGAAAAAATGAGAGTTTAGTGCTAGAAAGGGTTTTTTTAAAATTTTTTTATTTTATTTTTATTTTATGTGTGTGTGTGTGTACCATCAAATCAGATCTGACTGGTACAGGAGGAGACTGTTCCTCCTTCTCCAGCAAAGCATCTGGTGGATTTGAACCGTGCACCTCTGGGATTGCAGCACACGCTCCTGCCCCTAGGCCACCAGAGCTCGCCAGCTAGAAAGGTTTTTTAATTCATTAGCTCAATGTTGAGTTCAGGGAAGTGTGGAATAAAATGCCTCATCAAGTATTATTATTTAGTGGAAAATATCATTTAGTGGAAAGTTGTGTACAAAGGAAATATAATTGAGAGTTAGAGATGAAATAAGAAAACCAAAACAACTCAAAACCTTAAAAAAATTAGTGGGAAAAAAGAAAGTGGTTAATAACATCCAATACCACAAAATTCCATAATGGTGAGAACTCTTTGCAATAATAGTTCATTAGTAACTTTTAAATCATAATTTAATTAATCCTATGGAAGAAATATACTGAAATCCCAAAGCCACAGGGTTCAAATCCCCGAGCTTCTCTGCAAGAGAATAATGGGCAGTCTTCTCTCGTGTAATTTACTGCCTCTGAAAACCTGCTGAATGGTCAGCTATGAGTCGGTTTTGACTCAACAGCACACAACAACATGGAAAAGATGGGCATTATTTTTATGTAGGGCCAAGCAAGAATCATGTCAATAACAAATATATTTATTGCCAAAGTAAGGAATGTGATCATAGCTTGAAAAGGACAGAAAGATCATGAAGGTACTTATTTTTTGTAATTAGATAGGATACATGGAACAGGAGGAAATGTAAAGTTTCCTCTACAAAGAGTTAATTAATATTGATAATATAGCACCTTAAGTATGAAATAATATTGAAATTAATTATCTTTAGAAAGGAGGGTCACTTAAAGTTTGAAGTGATGATTAATTAAAAGACAGGATGTTTAAAGAGTAATAAGATGATCTTAAACCAAATATATTTATACAGATCCATTGTAATTTTTTTTCTTGCATTTGGTCTTATGTGACTGTGGCATTACTTTTACAGAAAAATTTCTATTAACTGTTTATTATATTTTTGCTGGTTTACTTACAAAATTTGTATACATTGTTTTTCACACCAGATCTTTCCCCTTTCCTTATTTTATGTGAACTTTATCTGCTCAACTTGTATTAATTAATCTCTTCTCATTCTTCCAAGTGATACATACCTATTTCTTGTCTCTTTTTTATTCTTTGAATTCAGATTTTAACATATTTATATTCTTTTGCTTATTTTAGAAGAGATGACTGAATTTAAAAATAACATAAAAGTTGAACTTGAAGAACTGAGAAAAGTGTTGGTAAGTGTATGCTTGTTCTTATTAAATATTTTTCAAAATAATATTGAATCCATTAATTTAGACTCTTATACTGCATATTTATGTGAAAGTTTCAGATAAAATAGAAAAAAATTGGTTTTAATAAGGCTATGTTTTGTGCCATCAAGATTGGCTTTTTCAAAAGATAATTTAGATTACAATATAAAGAGCAGTATATAAAAGTAAAACAAAAAAATAAAGGTAAAACAGTTAACAGACAATTTTGATTGTGAGGACATAGATTATTGAAGTTTAGGTTTGAGAGTAGAGGTAGTATAGTAAGAAAAATAGAGTGGTTTTGTACAGTTTAAATATTTGGGGTTGATACAGCATAGCATTACCATTTTTTGAAAAGATTGGATTCATTGAATTAGCTACATTTATGAAGAACTGGTTGGACATTTATAGTAGGTTTGTTTCTGGTCTCTCTTCTGATATGCTATGTCTATTTGTTTACTACTGTTTAGTGGTTTGAATACTATAAAGCTTTATGTTGTTGTTGTGGTTGTTATGTGCTGTTGAGTTGCTTGCAGCTCATAGAAATCCTGTATACAATAGCTCTGAAGCCTTCCCTGTCCTGAGGCAGTCTCACTGACTCTGACATACCTACCCCCATTGCCCTAGTCACTGTATCAATCCATCTCATCCAGGATCCTCTTCTCCTGTGATGTCTCTCCACTCTTCTTTCTGAGCGTGATTTCCTCCTCCAAGGATTGGTCCCTCCTGCCTCATGCCCAAAGTATGTGAGACAGAGCTTCAAAATCCTAGCCTCCAAGGAGAAACTTGGTTTTGCCTTCTCTAAGACAGACCTATTTGTTTTCTTCGTGGTCTGTAGTTTTTTCAAGACTCTTCTCCAGTACCACAACTCAAAGGCATAATCTTTTTCTATCATCCTTAGGCGTTATCCAGCTCTCTGATGCATTGTGAGTAACTGCAAAGACCATGGCCTAGATCAGGCTCATCTTAGTCTCTAGACTGACATTGTTGCTTGTCATTACTCTGGAAAGGTCCCTGGCAGCAGATTTACCTAATACAATTAATCTATTGATTTCCTGAGTGCTGGTGCCAAGAGTTTTGATAGTAGAGCCAAGCAAGCTGTAACTGTTAACAACCTTAATCTTTTCTCCATCAATCATGGTGCTACCAGTTGGCTCAGTGGTGAGAATATTTGTCTTCTTGATGTTGAGCTTCAATCCATACTGAAGACTACAGTCCTTGACCTTCTGCAGTAAGTGCTTCAGATTTTCCTCAGTTTCAGCAAGCAAGGTTGTGTTGTCTGCATAATGTAGGTCGTTAATGAGTCTTCCTCCAATTCTTATACCACATTTCTCCTCATAAAGCCCAGCGCTGCAAATGATCTGTTCTGAAAATAGATTGAAATGGTATGGAGGCAAGATGCAGCCCTGTCACACTCCCTTCCTGATTTTGAACCATGCAGTTGTTTCCCTGCTCTGTTCTGAGGACCTGCTTTCTGGTCCAAGTACAGGTTTTGTGTAAGGACAATCAAGTTTTGGGATTCCCATTTTCCTCAAGGTTAACCCCAGTTTGTTGTGATCAACACAGTCAGGTTGTTCTGCCCACGAAATACCCCTCAAAGAAATCCAAAAACACGTCTGAAATTTCAAGAGCGTTTATTATATTATTTTCCATGCGTGGAGACTTTTCTCCTTCTTCAGGAAGGTGGTGAAGGAAGAAAAGCCCCGAGTTTCCCCTCCCACTTGCTTTTATAGCTCTTTTGAGTGCCCCTGTTAGGGCAGGGGGACTGCGATTTTGGTTGGTGGGTTGACTTTTGATGGACTGGCTACTTTGCCCGCCTTTACTTCTTTTGTGTCACGTTGTTGTTGTTGTTACGTGCCATCGAGTCGCAGGCGACTCATAGCGACCCTATGAAGGAGAGTCCTTGATGCTTGGGTGCCTTTCATCCTCTCTCCAAGTTCATAGGGTTTCCGGAGGCAAGCTATTATGGAAGTGGACGCCACTCCTCCTCCCACGCTTGTTCAATCAGGGAGCTCCACCCCACTCTCTGTCTGCGTTGTAGCCAACCATTAACACATTTTACACATCCATATCACCGTGTTTAGCCTCACAGCAACCACAAGTGACCGCGGGACGGCAACTTGTACACCAGGTGCACTTAGTTTACTCATATTCTACTGACATTGACTGATGAGTTTGGCTAAATGCTGTCATATTGCTATGTTCTTTTTGGCGATGTTGCTGATTTCTTTGCTCAGTCTGCTTTTAGGTCCTAAATTCATTTTAAGATTTTTCTTATTTTCTTTGTTGCTGCTGTTGTAATGTTTACTGAGTCATGGTTTTCCTTTTTGTCATTTTAATAAAAGTGGTTTACTAACTTTTTTGGGGATTATCTAGTTTATTAAGGAACAGTTCACTTTATAATGAAATCACCTGGACTTTCTCGCTATTAAAAATTCTGTAACTACACTTCTTATTCTCCCTTTTTGTTTTGTAGATATCATTACTTGGAGACCCGTTTTCCTATTTTTAGGTCTTGTATGCCATCCTTCTTGGAAGTCCCCAGCAAACTGGTTTTTCATTCAACGATAAATACATAGATTGAGTGGAAGCCTTTTATAACCCTACATATTTAACAGACTGTGCCCAACCCTTCTTGTGTTTACTCAGTGCAGTCAAGTTGGCTCCAGCTACAGCAATCCTCCACTTGGATTTCAAGTGGTAAAGCTTAAAAGGAGGAGATTATCCATCTTTCCCCTGTGGAGCCACTGGGAAAGTACAATATAGACACAGAGTCTTTTGCTAGCAGCAAAACACACTATAGATTATGCCCCAAGAATCTATACCTTTTCCTACTTTACTTTCGTCTTTTCTCCCCACCTTCTAAGCTTTATCCCTAAATGGTGTTCTTCTGATCTTAAATTTTGCTCTAAGTATACTTTCAGGTGTTGTTATTATTCATCCTAGAGGCCCATCAGTGTCACGTAGACACTAGTTAATTCCTTACTTTTCAAGGACAGACCAGGCTTTAACCAGGGCACTCATGTTTGCCCTAAGCCAAGAATTTTTATGGCCCACTTCTGCCTCTAGCGTTAATGGGGGTTAATAAAAAATGGGGTTTCTGCTCTCCCTTCATTCCCCCCTGAAGTTATACTGGGCCGAATCATAGGCCCATGTGAGTGGTTTTTGGGCAATGGGAGGAGTAGACTAAACCTTTTTGATACCAGCATTAGGGTAGTTAGCAAAAGAGGCTAAACCTTTTAAGACGAATTAAAATTTTTAGGTTGAGTAATTCTTGCAGATCTGTTTTAATTGTTCTGTTGCCACAGTGCTTGTTAAAGCTAATTTTGATTAATTTCCTTTGTCAGTATGTTCCCCCCCCCCCATTTCCTACTGCTTCTTCTTGAGAGAGATTTCACCCTGATACATAGGGGAAAAAGGGATCGACAAATTCTCTTAGCTACTTCCTGCTGAAAAGGGACTCCGTAGGTTTCAGGGTGAAAATCTTCTCTTACTATTCTAGAGGGCCCCTTTGGCAAAAGGAAACACGAATACTTTTGCTGACATTGATTTTGGAATCTAGACGCACTGTTATTGTTTTTAGGGATACAGGTTCATATACTTGTAGATGCGTCATGGAACTGTTGCAGCCTTGTTGTTTTTATGTGCCGTCGAGTCGCTTGCAACTTATAGCGACCCTGTGTACTACAGCCCTAAACTCTGCCTCTGTCCTGTGCCAATCGCACTGTCTCTGACACTCCCATCCCGATTATCCCAGTCACTGAATCAATCCACCTCATAGAGGG